ATTTTTTTTTTTTTTTTTTTTTTTTTTACATCTGCTCTTCTTCTTCTTCTTCTTTAGACTTCACCGAAAAAGAGGTCAATATGATGAAAGAAGCAGGTGCAATTCCAGTTGGTCTTGGTCCATATCGACTTCGTGTTGAAACTGCAACAGTTGCAATCTTATCAACCCTGATGTTATGGTCTGACTCGAGAAGTTCTAATCGTTAATCTCTCTTTCAGGTTAGCCCTTGTCTGTTTATGTATTGATAAATCAAATTTTCCTGCATATCTATTTTGTTTTGTTTCAAGGATGAACTAAAAATAAGACAAATGGAATGGGTGCCCATGAAAAAGATTTTGAATGCAGTAAATGAATACAAGATGTACCTATATCAGGTTTCAATAATTTATAGAACAGAAGAAGCAAGAACGTAAGACCAGGATCGGATTTAAACCTTGAATATATTGCCCAGTGTAAGACGCGTTTTAAAAATCTTGAGGGAAAGTTTGAAATGGGAAAGTCCAAAGAGGACAATATCTGCTGATGGTGGGCTTAGACTATTACAAATGTTACCAGAGCCAGATACTGGATGGTGTGCCAACGAGGACACTGGGCCCTCAAGGAAAGTAGACTGTGAGATCCCACATCGGTCGGAGAGGAAAACAAACATTCCTTATAAAGATATGGAAACGTCTCCCTAGTAGACACATTATAAAACCTTAAGGGAAAGTCCAAAGATGACAATATCTATTAGCAGTGGGTCTAGGATGTTACACCTAGAAATTTACCCTTCTTCCTATTGAATGGACAAAATTACATTCTCATCATATCGAGATCTCGAAAAACAACTAGCATCAGTTTATTGCTTCGTTTCTTCTCGACCTAATAGATGCTACTCATTTTTCTAAAACTCATTGGCCATATCAGACCTACCCATGAAAGTTAACCCATCCCAAACTCACCAACGTGACTTACAGTAAAGAACCAGGACATTTCCCATTAGTTTTCACTTGTTTTAATTCTATTTACTGATTTACTGCAATGCCCCATGGTGAAATATGGTCTTAGAAGAACAATACTAACAATGTAAGGTAGTTTCTAGCATTATTTATTTAGGTTTGTAAGGTTAAAGGATTATTGTTCATACATAGTTATTGTCTTGCGTTTGCTAGATAGATCATGTAAACGATTCACCCAAGCTTGGGAGTTTCAACCTTTCTATGGTTTACAGGATATCATCAAGATCAGCACCATTTCTAAGCCTCAAAGTCGGAGCGTTTGAGGCACGAGGCATGTCGACAATTTGAGACATTCTACAAAATAACTTGGGCTCGGTTTGATAACCATTTCTTTTTTTAAGATTAAGAGCAGAAATACTACTTCTATCTATGTTTGTTATATCTACGTTCTAACCATATTTTCGAAATTCATGCACGTTTTGAAAATTAAGAAAAAGTTGCCTTAACATTGGTCAACGTTGGTCGTCTATATCAGCCAAATGAAGTCAACATTAGATTTGAAATTACATATATACCCATTCAGTTGCTTTGTAATTAATGATAATAAACAACACACCAAAATCAGTGATGTATTTGATGAAATAAACAGACACTTTCTAGTTTTCATCTACAAAATGAGCTTCCATTCTCTTCATATTATTTGTTCGATGATTAAGAGGTCGAACATGTTTTTAGTTCGCATCGACGTGATGTCGTGGGTGAGCACAGTTGCTTAAGATGAGGAGATGAGAGGAGAGTTGATGTGAGATACTACATTGGTTGGAGAGGGGAAAGAGTGTGAAAACCTCTCCTTAACAAACGCGTTTTAAAAATCGTGAGGCTGACAACGATACATAATGGGCTGAAGTGGGTAATTTTTGCTAGCATGAGTTTGAGCTGTTATAGTTGAGCTATGGATAGAGATTGCATTAATGTCAAGGATGAGAAGCGAGTTGGGTTGTTGTCTGAGGAGGGTCCCACACACCTTGTGAAGGTTGCATGGTTAGCATGAATAATTACATAATCAATATAAGGAAAATTTGTAGTCTGTTGATTGTTGTAAAGAAAAAATTGCAAAGAATAAAATCAAGCTATCAGTTTTTTACAAGAAATTTCAGTACATTCCGAGGTTGATCCGCCATTACCGGCGGCGAAGTTCCCATGCGAGGACAGCATTTTCACCCACAGAAGCCGGGTCTCGCCCGACCCGATGAGGAAAACGAACCAGTTCGCTCGTATCTCCCTGGAGTGAACGTCCCATTAGGCGCCGGAATTCGGAAGAAGGGAACCGGAGTCCGGCCATGGCTGCTCCTGGACTCGACCGGCGAAGCTCAAGTAGTTGAGGCTGGAAAACATGCGATTATGCGGCGGACTGGCCTGCCGGCTCGGGACCTTCGGATTCTCGATCCGTTGCTCTCGTATCCATCTACGATTCTTGGCCGTGAGAAAGCGATTGTGATCAATTTAGAGCACATCAAAGCCATTATCGCTGCTCAAGAAGTGTTCGTGTTGAATGCCAGGGATCCGTCTGTAACTCCCTTTGTTGAGGAGCTTCAGAAGCGAGTATTGCGGCACCATCAAGCCACGAAGGCCGCTCAGGTTTGAATTCGAATTACGATTTTAATCTAGTTCTTGAAATTAATGCATTTCTTCCCCCAAATTTGATTGATTGGAAAGAAGTATGAACTGATTACAGGGTTCCTTAATTTCCTTTTTATCCATTTGTGCTAGCTTTCTGTTTGGATTGTAGAACTTATTGACAATATGCTGTCCAGTTATTTGCTAAGTGTTTGAGAGTATTATGAAATCATGAAATTTTGTCATTCATGTTTGAAGAACAAGGTACTTGGGTTGTTATTTTAAAATCTTTGTTGTTTCTTGCGCTGTTCTTGGGGTTTGTGAAGCTTCCAAGAACAAGGATTAATAGGTGTGTGTCACGGGCATGATCCAAGGAGAGAGTCTCTGATAACTCGTTATTTTACTAGATATGATATGAAATCTAGTGATCATGGTTAAATGTTGTGCAATGTAGTAGTGTTGCTAGTTTGGAACTTTGGATGGTTCATTTGAACTTGGATTAGAAGTTTGAATTCTGTCCTTAAGTTTAGTTTTCATTTGATTCTCGTTCGACGTTTCATCGGGGATGGCTCATTAGTCATTACCGAACAATCGTACTCTACTTCAGGACGATCGCGATGATTGCAGAATTGTTCTATGATGGGTGCAATCTGTGTTTGATTATCTGGAATGTTTTAGGATGGCAATGGCGATGATTCTGATTGGAGAAATCTGTATGACCTGGGGGAGCCTCGATCGAGGACTCAAAGTCCTAATTACTACCAAGGATTTCCACAGGCTGACGAGGAGGAGGGGAAGGAACACGAGAAACAAGGTCTCGAAAATCGGGAGGGATTGAAGGTTCTTCCTTTCGAGTTTGTTGCTTTGGAGGCATGCCTTGAAGCTGCTTGCAGTTGCTTAGAAAGTGAAGTAAGGATTTTACATTGTTTGCTTAGTTTATTTAGTCTTGGTATCTGCCCAATGTATCAGTGAGAAGGTTGAGCTCCGAAGGGGTGGATACGAGGCAGTGTGCCAACAAGGACACTAGACCTCAAAGGGGGGTGGATTTAGAGGGTCTCACATCGATTAGAGGTGGGAACGAGTGCCAGCGAGGATGTTGGGGCTCCGAAGGGGGTGGATTGTGAGATCCCACATCGGTTGGGAGGAGAACGAAACACCCTTTATAAGGGTGTGAAACCTCTCTTGCAGACACGTTTTAGACACCTTGAGGGGAAGCCCAAAAGGGAAAATCCAGAGAGGACAATATCTGCTAGCGGTGAGTTTGGGCCGTTACAAATTCGATTTAGCACATTATATTGTTCAGTTTTTCTTGCTTCCTTGATTGTCATCTCCTGTTCTAGTCAGATACATTGGAGCTAGAAGCTCACCCAGCTTTGGATAAGCTGACTACTAAGATTAGTAATCTCAATTTGGAACGGGTGCGTCAAATCAAAAGTCGATTGGTTGCAATAACTGGACGAGTTCAAATGGTGTCTAGATTTAATTACTACTCACGACGCATTTTATTGGGAAACAGATGCACTGTAATTTGATTTAACACAGCTTTTTATTCTTTTCGAACGCTACGGTTGTTTACAGGTGCGCGACGAATTAGAACACTTGCTAGATGATGATGAGGATATGGCTGAGATGTACTTAACAGAGAAGATGGTTCAGCAACAACTTGAGAACTCTTCCACTTCTTCAATTCCCGAGAGAGATGAAATGGACGACGCAGTTCAGCAGTCAGGCAACAACGAGAGGCACGAGACTCATCTTATGTCGCCTTAAACACAGAATAACAGACCTATTCTATTGTTATTGTTTTCATTGATTTCTGCATTTTAATGAGCTTTCTGTTCCCAATTTTCTCAGTTCTCCTCCTGAAATATCGTTGGAAGGCAATATGGATGCTTCCCATGTGGGCAGGGACAGCCATGGGACCCGGACGAGTACTACGCAGAGTGCTATAGGCAAACACCTCGACGTGGAGGAACTCGAGATGCTGTTGGAGGCATACTTTGTGCAAATTGATGGTACACTCAACAAACTCTCCACGGTATGCAAAATCATCAATGTTTTCTATCATGTATGTGATCAGTTGTATTTTAAAGATGATGATGCTTCTCTTAACCTGAAGGATTTTTTTGGTTGGTTGTTCTGTAGACAAGTAATAAATCTAAGATATGTGTTTTCAAGTAGAAAAACACAACCTCCACCCACTCACTGTTAGCAGATATTCTTCTCTTTAGACTTTTCCTTTTTAGGCTTTCTCTCAAGGTTTTTAAAACGTGTTTGCTAGGGAGAGGTTTCCACATCTTTATAAAGAATGTTTTGTTCTTCTCTCTAACCGACGTGGGATCTCACAATTCACCACCTTTTAGGGCCCAGCATCCTCGCTAGCACTTGTTCCTTTCTCTAATCGATGTGGGACCCTCCAATCCACCCCCTTTGGAGGTCCTTGCTGGCACACTGCTTCACATTCAACCCCCTTCAAGGCTCAGCCTCCTCATTGGCATATCGCTCGTTGTCTGACTCTAATACCATTTGTAACGATCCAAGCCCACCACTAGTAGATATTGTCTTCTTTGGGCTTTCCCTTTTGAGCTTCCCTCAAGGTTTTTAAAACATGTATGCTAGGGAGAGTTTCCACACTCTTTATAAAGAAGGTTTCATTCTCCTCACCAATTAATGTGGGATCTCACACATCATTTTACCCGGAGGAGAGGCTAAACTAGTTGGCAATCCTGATTTAAGGGTCAATATTTTTTAGTCTTGTTCAAAGAAAGATGGTTCAAATGGAAGTATAGAAGTCAATAGAATTGCTTTAAGGTCGATCCATGAGGTAATTTCTTATACAAATACTTTCACAGTTACCTCAATAGAAGGGAAGTAAAATTTGAATTCTCCCACCTCCATTGGGCCTAGAATTGAAATGAAATCGGAGGTTATACCGGTAGTGGCCAAGCCCACCACTAGTAGATATTGTTCTCTTTGAACTTTCCCTCAAGGTTTTTAAAACACGTTTGCTAGGCCAAGCCCACCACTAGTAGATATTGTTCTCTCTAGACTTCCCCTCGAGGTTTTTAAAACGCGTCTGCTAGGGAGAGATTTCTACCCCCTTATATAGAATGTTTCACTCTCCTCCCCAACCGACGTGGGATCTCACAGTACCAATTCAAATCCAATCCTTAATACGAAAATTTTGTTCCCTTTCAAGTGGCTGCTACTAGTTTAAACATTGATTTTCCTTTTGTTAATGTCTGTATAACACACTCTTTTATCCATCTTAAGCTGAGGGAGTATGTGGATCACACAGAAGATTACATCAACATAATGCTGGATGATAAACAAAACCATCTTCTACAAATGGGAGTAATGTTGACAACGGCAACCCTTGTCGTGAGCGCGTTCATCGTGGTGGCAGGTATCTTCGAGATGAACATCCATATTGAACTGTTTGAACCCGAGAAAGCAGGCATGCCCGAGTTCCTGTGGACTGTTGGTGGTGGCACTACTGGAACCATCTTGTTGTATGTCGTTGCTATCGCTTGGTGCAAGCACAAACGCTTGCTCGAGTAGTTCCCCAAAACCGAAACTCGAGCACACTGCCAATGGTGTAGCTGACTTGATAAAAAAAAAGGATTATATAAATATATTATATATTTCGAGCTCATTCATTATTTTGGTGCAGGATGAAACTTTTGAAAATTCAAGGATATTTTTTAAATACTTTTGAAAGTTAAAGGGTATTTTTTAAATAAAATATTAACGGTTTTCATCCAATACTATCATGATTTTTTGCTAAACAAGGTCAAAAACCTTTCTTTTAAGTACTTTTTATTTGTACTTACAAAATAGTCTCGATATTTTTCAAATTTGATTACAATATAACTTCGTTTATGCACCTCTCAATCTTGTGTATCATATACAAAAACCTAGCTACCAACCTTTGAAGGATTCGAGGACAAAAATCAATTTCAAACTTTCAAAACTTTAAAGCCCTTACGTAACGATTTGGTTTCAAGGTTGGTGTGTTAATGGATTTAGTTTTATTATGATGCCATGATAGTTGATTTAAAGTTTTATAAACATCGTGTTAAGGGATTCAACTTGGATGAACAGATGTCGAAAGAGGAGTCGGGTAGAAATACCCAATTGGAGTGAGTGTTTTTTTCGACATTGGATTGCTTTAGACACAGAGGAACCACGGGCAAACAACGAGAAGAATGGACTTCATGAATGATGGGCTAACCCTCTTAAGTTTAAAATCGCATCTGAAAAGACGAGCCCAAAGAGATATCAATAACTCGCCTATTGAAGTTGAAATAAGATAGCCATACTCGAAGGTGTGTGTCTAGATCCTCTCTGTAACAGCCCAAGCCCACTATTAGTAGATATTATTTACTTTGACCTGTATCGTACTTGAAAGTGTGTCTAGATCGCCTTTGTAATAACTCAAGCCCACCGCTAACAGATATTGTCCATTTTCGCCCGTTACGTATCGCCGTCAATCTCATGACGTGGGATCTCAATCGATGTGGGATTTCACAATCCACTCCCTTGAGGGCCCAACTTCTTTGCTGGCACACTGTTTAGTATTTGGACTTGATACCATTTGTAACAACAGGCCCAAGCCCACTACAGGCAAATACTGTTCGTTTTGGTCCATTGCATATTGTCGTCAACCTCACAATTTTAAAACGCGTATATTAGGGAGAGCTTTCCACACCCTTATATCCTTAGTTCTACACTAGACATCTTCCCTACTTCCAAAACCCATACGAAAGAACCCGATCAAACAAAACGACAAAACAAGGTAACAAAGAGCTAGCACAGTGAAAACGACATACGACAAACACACTCTAACGCTTGAATCAACGAAGAAAACATGTTGGAGGGAGTTAAAAACATTGAAGGTAGGGAGTGTCCAAAAACCGTAGCCAGCTAGGGCTTGGTGGCATGCAGCTGGAATGTGACAGTGGGAAGCACAGTTATGGAGAGGGCCTGCAATATGGCAGTGGAAGCAATTGGCAATACCCAAAATTGGTGGGCATTATGTCCCCCATGGGGTTTTAGGGTTTTGTCACCATAAACACAAACAACACAAACCCTTTGCATCCTTTGCCTTTGCCTTTGCCTTTGCCTATAATTAATCATTGTTGTCTTTGGCGGTGGTTCTAAAGGCATTCAATGGCTCTTCCATACTTCTTTGCATATCTTATCTTTTCTTTCACCTAACTCTTTTAACGTTTCCATAACTTAGCTTGTGTGACAGTCCAGATCCACCGCTAGCAAATATTATCCTCTTTAGGTTTTTCTTTCCCTTTCGGGCTTTCTCTCAAGGCTTTAAAACGCATTTGCTAGGGAAAGGTTTCCGCACCCTTATAAGTGGTGTTTGTTCTTTCCCAACCAATGTGGGACATCACAATCCACCCCCTTTAGGGCCCAGCGTCCTTACTTGCACACCTCCTCGTGTCTACCCCCCTTCAGGGAACAGCGAGAAGGCTGGCATATTGTCCGGTGTCTGGCTCTGATACCATTTGTAACAGCCCAGATCCACCGCGAGCAGATATTGTTCTCTTTAGACTTTCCCTCTCGGGCTTCCCCTCAAGGCTTTAAAACCGGTCTGCTAGGAGAAGGTTTCCACACCCTTATAAATGGTTTTGTTCTTTTCTCCAACTAATGTGGGACATCACGGCTTTCAACTGGAACGTGCAGTTAAATTTAACTGACATTGATCGATTAGTTATGTATGAGCATTCTCGATACTATTTTGGTAGGTATTGATTCCTTTTTGTCATGTTAAGATCTTCTTTTCAAATCTAGATTTGAACGATTTTATGTCGAGTTTATATGTCTTTTTAGTAGCTAGACAAAGAAACTCGTGATGAAAGTACTATGACACATAGGTAAAGAACCGAGACCACATCCGAATGAGAGAGATCCTGAGGATAGGATGACTAAGAAAAATTGAAAGTTACTATCGATACCAACAAGACCCACCTTCCTTTTCAGTGGTTTAACTATAGAAACTCTATAGTTAACTGTGATTCTAACTCGGGTGACCTTCTGAAAACTTTTCTTGATGTATCTGAGTAAGAACAAAACATGCTGGAATGACTCGTTTCGGTTCGTAAGGATAATCTTTAGAAGGAGTAAGTAAGATGACTATGTCGCAAGTGTCGAATGGTTTGCCGGGATAGGCTAGATGGCCTTTAGCAGCGATGAGTAAGTAACGTACCAAATGGTTTGTGGGGATAGTCGATGCGACCATATCGCAAGTGCCAAATTTAGATTTCGAATCATGATCATGGGTCGTTACAAGTACTTTAAAAGCTTAATCAAGAACTCGTTCGACAATTATTTGATTCTTTAAAATTACGGTTCTAGACATTGTCCGGAATATAGCTCAGAATTCAAATTATACCTTAAAAACGTTTAAATAATTTTATTTTATTTTTTCAAATAAAGAAAAAAAAAATAATAATAAATATTGAACAGCTGTTCCATCCTCTACTGTGTAGTTTGGATGAGATAGCCCATCACCACAACACACCTTATCATCATCTTGTCTCATGCAACTCTCTTCTCTTTTGTCATATTTCCAAAATCCTACCTAACAATTTATATATATATATATATATATATATGAAAACGCGGCTTCTGAATCTCGTGGGTCATATCGTTTCTTTTACCCTAACGTGCTTGTTCAAAAAATCTCGACATATCAATGTTTATTACGACCAGTGACTTTGTAATTTTGTCGCTCGTGCCGTAAACCTGACTTGGCTTTACAAAGAGCACACGTCAAAGATGCAAACGAAATTCTTCTCGTTTACCTCAACTAGTAGTGGGAAAGATAGAAAAAAAAAGCGACAACTAAAAAGCAAAGTTTCCATTAATGATATACTTAATATAAACGAGCTTGGACTTGCTAAATTTGACCTGTATTTTTTTCGGTGGTATTGTTAAGAAATTAAGATTTGAAGGGATCGTAAAGACTAATTTGAACGTATTAACGAACCCCGAAAAGCATACTTTTTTTACCTAATTAAGGTTCCTTCTTCGACTCTCTTTCTTTCCTAATTTTCATGTGTTTCCCTCTTAATTCTACGAGAGAATCTAAAACATGTTCGCCCAAAAAAAACAAAGTTGATTTTGTTGCATTTGACTTGTGTTCTCGACGGGTTCGTCATACCATATTTTTTAATTTTAGTAAATAAAATATCAATTGTTTTTATTAAGATTGAACGTTCGGTTCTTCACTTTCATAATTATTAAATTAACAAAATAATATAGTTGTGTCTCGATGACCTGTATAGAAAATTCCATCAACAAATTTTTTTAATAAAAATAGATGAAAATGCGTAACTGATATCTAAAGTCACAATGTCACATCATTGTACCTAACAAGTGATATTAGAGTCGTGCTTTCTGACTTAGCTATGTCGATAGAATTCTCGAGTTCCGAACGAAAAGTGGGTGAGACTCGAAAAATGTGGTCATGATATGATTTGTGGTTATTTTCACTTGATCGTGTTTAAAACCCGCTCAAAATCACATGTATAAAAATATTTTCTCCAAAAGTCTCACCAAAGTAGCAGAAAAACGACCATATGAAAAAACCAACTAAAGTTTTAATAATTTACATTAATCATTAGGGTCAGAAATTGATTGTAACAGTCCAAGCTCACTGTTAATAAATGTTGTTCGTTTTAGCTCGTTGCGTTACAGTCCAAGCTCACAATCCACCTCCCTTGGGGGCCAGCGTTCTCGTTGGCACACCGTCCGATATTGCTAGTAGATATTATACATTTTAGCCCCTTATGTATCATCGTCAGCCTCACAATTTTAAAACGTGTAGCTTAAGGAGAGATTTTCACACCCTTATACGAAATGATTTGTTATCCTCTCCAACCGATGTGGGACCTCACATTGATTATCTTACGAAAGATTAATGTTTACATCGAAATATAAATTGATATTTACTCTCATGTATATGTCGTAAATAAAACCGAACATGATTTATAGACCAATAAACACTTATGTTCTTGGTCTTTTCAAACATGTTGATTTAGTACAACAATAATTGTCATTTTTTTTGAGTTCCTCATGGCTACGAAAACATAGTACAATCCATTCAATGTCCAAAATAAAAACTACTTTTTTTTTTCTCTCTCTCAAGAAATTATTCAAAAATTCCAAAAAAAAAAAACCCTAAATTGTTCCACTTCAAACGAAGAGCTAGCTGACGAAAGTCCTACATCGACTAATTTAGAAAATGATCATTCGTTTATATACTATTTCCATTGGTACGAGGTCTTTTGGGGAAGCTCAAAACAAAGCTATGAGAGCTAATATCATATCATTGTTGTATCGTGTTTAACGGAGCCATCATCTCTTCCCTTTAAACCACCTGTATAAAAGAACAACATAAATCAAAGAAACAATGAGTATATGATAATATATCTACCAATACCGATAATAATGGATAAATTGCACGTTTAATCGTCGTGTAACTTTTAGGGTTATGTTTATAAACGTCCACGAACATTTAAAAGTGTCTAGGTGATTCTCGAACTTTGAAACGATGTCTAGTAGGTCCCTGACGTGCATGCCTAAAAGAGGCCTACAATTAAGACGTTTTTTAATCTAAGTAACCAAATAAGCACAAAACCTGAAAGTTTAATGACTATAATTTAACGAGCAGTAATCAAATTCTATCGATTTTACGACAATATATGATAATGTAAAAGTTTCGGCTAAACGACAACGTTCGTGCCACGAAGATTATGAATGAGATATTGATTCGACTCGGGAGAGAGAAGGAATTGGCTTAACTGATTCTTTTGCCTTTGATTTCGAGATGGAGATGATTGTCTAATTGTGTTAAATTGGCTTTGGTAGGATGAACTCTCCTGCATTTAAAATAACAAATTAATTAAAAAAAAATTATTTATTAAAATTTAATTTTAAAATAAAGGAAAATATATTATTTTCTGACATTCCCTTTAAAAAAACAACCTGTTTTTATTTTTATTTTTTAAATAATGTAAATTATTCTTAATTATTATTTTAAAAACAATTTTGATAATGGAATATAATTTTTTTTTTTAAATGATAGTTTTCACTAATTTCTTGAACAAAAAAACCAACTTAAAATAAAATAGCGAAATTTTTAAAAACAAATTTGAAAATATAAATTATTCTTAATAATGTAAATTATTTTTAAAAAAATTATTAAAAAAAACAACTTAAAATCATGTAAATTAATCTTAATTATTATTTTAAAAACAATTTTGAAAATATAAATTAATCTTAATAATGTAAATTATTTTTTAAAAAATTATAAAAAAAAAACAACTTAAAATCATGTAAATTAATCTTAATTATTATTTTATAAAAACAATTTTGAAAATATAAATTATTCTTAATAATGTAAATTATTTTTTTTTAAATGATAAAAAAGAAAAACCAACTTAAAATAATGTAAATTATTCTTAATTATTATTTTGAAAATGGGCTATAATTTTTTTTTTTAAAAAAAAGTGATAATTTTCACTAATTTCTTGAACAAAAAAAACCAACTTAAAATAAATTAATAAAATTTTGAGAAATAATAATGAAGATTTATGAAAATAAATAAAGGAAAGTTTTGTACCGAATTATTGAAATTGGGATCAGAGCTAGCAGTGTCATCGAGAAACGACGTCGTTTTCTCCATCCGATCACGGCGCCGCCGTCGTTCCTCACAACCCTTCATTTTGCGGCTAGTTTTCGAGCCAGTTTCATTTTCCGGGAAAATAGCTTCATTTTCCGGGAAAATAGCTTCATTTTCCGGGAAAATAACATCATTTTCCGGGAAAATTGGAGGCCCAGAAGAGGCATCAGAAACCATAGACAAATCCAGTTCATGTTCATCTTTATGAAGAACACCAAAAGAATCACGAATTGTTGGAGTGAACAAAAAAGAAGAAGAAGAAGAAGAAGAAGAAGAATTCTCCAAATACACAGTCCAACCGGACTCCGCCGACCCATCCATTGCTAAAATTATTATTTTCTCGCCTCCCAAACACAAAATTTTGGTGTTGGTCGGTGGGTTACCAATGGAAAAAGGAGAGAGAAAGAAGAGAGAGAGAGAGAGAGAGAGAGAGAGAGGGAGTGACAAAGTAACCCACAATATGTTCACATGGTAGACAGCAAAGGCTTTGTGAACCCTTTTTAACATATAACCACCCAAGTAAGGAACCATTCATGGCCACTTCATGTCCTTGTCTTCTTCTAGTTTGTATAGCCATCTAACACCACCAACCTTTGTTCTAATTCGGTTTTCAAAACCCGTGTCACAAAGTGGAATGATGTCCTGTTGGAGAGAGAGAATCGAAGTTTTCTTTACAAGGGTGTGGGAATTTCTTCCTAATAGACAGACGTGTTTGTAATGGGCAAAAGCGGACATTATCTGCTAGTGGTGAATTGGGGTTGTTTTGTTACAAATGACATCAGAGTCAGACACTGGGCGGCGGTGTGTTAACGAGGACATTGAGCCCTTAAAGAGGTGGATTGTGAGATCTCACATCGGTTGGAAAAAGGGAACAAAGTCTTCTTCTTATTAAGGGTGTACTGTGGAAACCTTTTCCTAACCGATGCGTTTTGAAACTGTGAGACTGACGGTCATATGTAACGGGTCAAGGTGGACAATATCGACGAGCAGTGTGCATGGGGCTGTTACATGTCTTGCGAGTTTTTTGGTTTGTAGTAATCTTACCATGTGGCTCAAATCACTAAACAAATGTGTTCGAGCTCTAACTCATGCTCGTTAAGGCACATAGCTAACCTGCATGTGTAGATATAATTCACGTGTAATTTGCTAGCCACTGGTTACAAATGGTCATAAGTGTTTGGCCAACGTCTAAGTATATACTAACTTATGTTTCTAAGTTTATGCTTAGTTCAGTTCGGTTCAAATGAATGAAAACTTTTTAAATTGGTTAATACACCCAATTTTTAAAACTAGATTTAACTGAACCGAACCAAGCTAAATTTATTATTAAATTTTATTTTAAAAAATATATTTTTGCTATATATAATTATATATTCATATATTTTTTTTATTTAATTTCATAATTACTTTCCTTATTATTTTCAACTTGTCTTTAAAATATTTTTTATATTGGAATTAAGTTACCAATCTTAGTTAAATATTTGAAAATAAATAAATAAATATTTTACTTTTATTAAAAATAAAAATTTGATTAAATAACCTAAATTCAACTAAAAAAATTACATGGTCGGGTCGAGTTGTGTTAGGTTGAATTCAGTTCATTATTCAATAAATATTACTCGAGTTGAAAAATTTTACAATAAAAAATAATTGATCTAAAAAATGTTTCAATCCGATCAAATCTAACCTATGAGAGACTAGAGGATTCGACATTATTGGTCGAGACGAGGCGATTTTAAAAAGATTACGACATTAAAAATTCACAATAATTTTTGCAAAAATAGGTCTATTATAAGGTCTATTTATGTAATTATTGTTTAATATAGGGTTCAGAAAAATTATATGGATACTACTTAGAAATGGGCCCAAAACTCACATTGGGCCACAATATAATAATGGCCCATTTTCCAAATTTAACCCCAATTTTTTACCAATAAAGAAAATTTGTTGGTAATTTTTTTTGCATTTCAATTTTTAACCTTCTACACATATTTTTTACTATTTACTTATTTCACATTCACCAATGAGACGGGCCGTCGAAGGACGATACAAACCGATCAACAAGTCAAACATCAATCCAAGCATATCAACAAACTAATTGTAACGTCCAAGATTACCGTTAGCAGATATTGTATTCTTTGGGCTTTTCCTTTCGAGTTTTGTTTTTAAAATACATCTACTAGATAAAGGTTTTCATACTCTTACAAAGAATGTTTCGTTCTCATTCCCAACCGACGTGGGATCTCACACTAATGGTCTATCTAAACCGATCAATAAGGTAGAGGTTGATCCAAGCATATTATCAAGCTAGAACCTTATCCATACAAAAGTCGATTTGAGTGCAATAGTAAGTCAAAGGCTAACCTAAATCTATCGACTAACCAATAGCCGATCCAAGAAGATCAACAAGTCAAAGGTCAATTTAAACTAACCCACGAATCAGAGGTCGACCCAAACCGCTCAACAAGTTAGAGGCTGATCCAAGAAGATCAACAAGCCAAAAAGTCGATCGTCTAAAATGGTCACCGAAGTCTTTTTAGATCTATTCAGCTCTAGTTTGTGAATGGAACATTGTTTATCCCTACAACCTTAAAAGACATAATCAATAAGCCTGTCGTTTTCTTTTAGAATTAAAATAATGAAAGATTTTGAACAATTCTAAACGTTGACGGACAAAGCTAAGTTAATAACAAATAAAGCATTATTAAATATTGGTTTCTTTTTTATTAATTTAATGTTTATTATAAAATATTACAATATATATATATATATATATATTAATTCATTTTGATTTTGTATTATTGTAATTAGAATATGATCAATTTGAACAAATCTCTATTAATTAATACACAATAGATTACCATAAAAAAAATTATTTCATTATAATCCAATTATGTTCTAACTTTTTGTTTATATTAAAAATAAATAAATAAATAAAATAGCATTTTAAAAAGAAAAATATCTCATTTAATAGGGTAAAATTTATAATTTTTTTTTTTAAAAAAATTATAATATTGTGACACTCGAGTAAAGGAGAGGTATATGAATGAATCGAGACTATATTTGAATGAGAGGGGTCTAACTAGACAAATCATGCTGGAAAGACTCGTGTTGATCTATGAGGATAATTTTCACTCTTAAAAAACGAGAAATAGGTAACCCGACTATGAAGAATGTCGGGGCTATCAAGTGAAAAATCCGAATTTTTGAATCATTATTTATAAATTTAAAAATTATTTAAAGAAAAAAAAAAGAAAAAAGAAAAATAAACTTGATTTTTTATTTTTTATTTTTTAAAGAAAAAAACTTATTTTCCTGAAAGTATCAATAAATTAAATTAATAATGCCAATCACGTTGATTAGGTGGACGTGAAGATGGGCTTAGCTGTAAGATAAACTCTTAATCATGTGCGGTGCACTCCACCACCTTTATTATACGCTTTTTTATTATTAAACCTATTAAAGTGAATCTAAAATTTTGAGTACATCTGGAACGTGTATTTCGTTAAGGAGAAACAATCCTTACCGTTTGTGAGCCTGACAACAATACACAACGAGTTAAATCTAATAATATCTGCTAGTGGTGGACCTAAACCATTATAAATGGTATCAGAGCCAGACATTACTAAAGAGTGTGTGCGTGAGGATGTTGAGTTCTAATGGAGTGGAGTGTAAGATTCCAGGTCGATTGAGGAGAGGAATGAAAAGCCTAACAACTGTCGCTGGCCCACAAGGGGGTGGATTGTGAGATTCCACATCGGTTAGAGAGAGGATTGAAAAACTTAACGGCTAAGATCCCACATCGATTGGAGAGAGGATTGAATAACCAACGGCTAAGATCCCACGTCAATTGGAAGGAGATAAGTTTTATTATCGGTGTTTAATTTAATTGAATTTATTTTTTGACATAATATTTTTCTAATATAATATTTTTTTTAGTTATTGTTTTTCTTGTCAAATCATATGAAATTCAAATCAACTGTTTTATAGAGCTTTGAAATTAAATATCAACATTATTGAAATATCTCTCTATATACTTAAATAAAAAAATAAAAAAATACGGTCAACAATTCAGTATCATTTTTTTAAAACTATTAATGATTGTCTTTCACTGTAATATTTTGTTATAGTTTCTCAAATAATAATAATTATTATTAAATCAGATATTTACATTAAACAAATATATAAAATAACTGAAATAAAGGGGAAGTTTCTTTGTAAATTAATTTAACATTAAAAAATATATATATTATATATGCAAGAAGATGGAATTTGGACATGAGGCAGTCTGACAGTAAAGACGCTGGACTCCGAGTGAAGTGAATTAGGAAGTCCCATGTCGATTGGAGAAGAGAACGAGTGTCAGCTAGTACATGTATTCTAAAATCTCGATGGGAAGTTTGAAAGGGAAAGCGAAGACAATATTTGCTAGCAGTGGCCTTGAGGCGTTATAAATGATATCAGAGTCAGACATGGCTATGTGCCAGCGAGGAGGCTGAGCCCCGAAAGGGGTGGACATAATGCAGTGTGTTCGCAATGCCCTGGACATGAGGCATTGGGCACGAGGGGAGTGAATTGGGGAATCCCTCATCGATTGGAGAAGAGAACGAGTGTCAGCCAATAGACGCGTTTTAAAAACCTTGAGAAAAAGTTCGAAAGGAAAAGCCCATAAAGAATAACAGCTAGAGCCTTATATATATACACCATATATATATTATTAAAAGTCAAAAGAAATGAGCCCTGTTGTTCATTCTTTGTAGTTTTATAGTTATCGCTCTCGTCTCTCTGTTTGGCAACGAAGAAAAAATCAATCTGATCGTTCAAGCAATCTCAAGAGAAAAAGAGAGGGAAAAATGAGTTACTACAACCAGCCACCGCCTCCCGTCGGCGTTCCTCCGCCGCAAGGTAACATCTAAACCGATACTCTTACTTTTTCCCTTTCTTACTCCCGGCGCACTTTCTTTGATTTCTAAGGTTCAAATCGAATGGATCTTGCTGTTTTCTTCCACAAAATCGATTTAATCTTTGTTTTCGTTTCGATTTGACCGATTTTGGCTGCGATTCTGTGAATTTCAACGATTTTAGGTTATCCGCCGCAAGGATATCCGCCGAAAGACGCCTATCCACCACAAGGATATCCACCGCAGGGCGGTTATCCTCCTGCTGGTTATCCTCCGCAGGGATATCCGCCTCCGGCGTATGGTCCGGCGTACGGACCACCTCAGCCTCAACATTCAAACCAAAAGAAAGAAGTTGGATTCGTCGAAGGCTGGTAAGTCTCTGCTTCTCTCTCACTTTACAACCTTAGTGATGCGATTTCGTTGGCGTTTTCGAGTTGAAATTGAGTCCGTGCGTCTTCGCGGCGGCGAAGTACGGTTACGGTTACCGATTAGTTGATTAATCCGTCTTCTGCGGCGGAGATTTTAGATTTCGAGTTTTTGTTTTCTTTTTCATATATATATTTTTATTGAATTTAATTTTAGTTTTCGTTTTGAAAAAGAACGCATTCGACGATTTGATGGCCTTTCAGTCATTTCACATATAAATTATATATATATATATATATGTATATATGTGTGTATATATTATATATTCAAAGTCACATTTCCAAGCGTCGATTTTCGTTATTAAAAACTTAATTTTGACTAAAAATTTGTCATATTATATTAATTTAAACTCCAAATAAATATTGTAATTATTACTACTGATTCAATTTTCATTAATTTTTCTACTAATTTTAATTTAAAAAATGGTGTAAAAACCTTCGTTAACTGTATCATTTGAATAAAATAAAATTTAGCACAAAATTAAGGTTAATATATATATATATAAACCAATCATTGAATAAGTTTCTAAAATTAGTAAATTCCAACAAAAACATTTTCTCTATTATTTCATCAATTTTATATGATATTTATGTTTTATAATTTATAAAATGCATATAATAAATATATAATGAACATTTCCATAATTTGGATTTAAAATAGATTTATTGAGTATTTTATTTCCATTTTAATTAGTTCCTAATGAAATTAAATGGTTGTTATATATATATATGAAAAAAGGCGCTGAGTTGGTTTCTAAATTTTGCAGTTTGGCTGCTCTTTGTTGTTGCTTTGTCTTGGATGTATGCTTTTGATCACGACCTTCTGCCTGTTTTACTCATCATATGGCGTACAGAATTTGAATTTCCATTTGGATTTGGATTTGTATTCGAATTTGAATTTGAATTTGATCTTTTGTCAGTTTGTAATATCATCTCTCATTCATACTTCTTGAACCTTGCTTGGAAAGAGTATATATTTTTTAACATTTATTTGGTCCTTTTTTCCTTCGGTTATACACGTCTGATGTTAAATTATGAGTTTAGTTCGTAAACTTTTAATTATGTGTTAATAGGTTTTCGTACTTTATGTTGCGTCTAGCGAGCCTCTAAATCTTTCGTTTTATATTTAAGACGTTTTTTAACTTCTAATTTTGTGTACGATGAGATTGATATTTAAATCTTTCTTCTTCGGACGTATTAATTTGACTCCATAAGCGGGACTGTCATCCCATAGCATGTTGCAAAATGTCTTCTCGAGCAAATTATTCTTCATTGCGTAAGCTCATTACAAGTTATTTTTAGATGCTTCTTTGGAAAGAGCACGGAAAAGGCCTATGAAATCTCCATTGTACTAAGACCCGAAAGATAATTCAAGTAATGTAAATCGAGACCCAAAACGAGTAAATCAGGTTTGACTTAAGCAATCACTCATTACCTAATAGTCGAAAGTTTGGAACCCATTTGATATTTTATACCCTCCCCATTTTGCCCTTTTTTTTCTTCTTTTTTTTTTCCAATTTTAATTTATGTACGTTGTACATTTTTTCTGGTATTCTTGAGTTCAATGAAACTTTTTAGAACAACAATCGAAGGACGGAGGTTTGGAACTCCTTAGTACATACGTCCTTTTGTTGAGTTAGGTTCAATTTGAGTAAATAAAATGAAAATGGAACTCTTCATTTTTATCTATATATATATATATATAAAAGTTATTTGTGGTCGAATGAATACTTATATCTGATCTAGTCGCATAATTGAAGAAAACTAAAATCTACCTAAATTTTCGTAAATTATGTTTAATTTATCTAATATTTTAAAATAATTCAAATTTTAGTTAGATTTTAATTCTCCATTTGTTCTCCAATTCATAAGAAAATGATTATGAAATATATTTATATATTCGTTGAATTAAAAAAAATTAAAAAAAATTAAAAAAAAAAAGATAAAAAATAAACCGAACATATAGGGAGAGATAATAGACGTTATGTACAAATGAAGAAAGAAAGTATTATTTTTCGAGGTGATTGGAAATAAATGATTATTTTTCAAGGTGATTGGAAATAAATCTACCCTCATAAATGTGTGTCCATGACTAATTTGTCAATTAAATTATCATTTGTCATAGTTATAAAATAAACCGAGATTTCGAATAATTTGAATTATCCAACCCAAATGATCTAAATAAAAGAATGAATTGAGTTGAATTTTCACATCTGTTCATGCGGTAGTTTTTTTTCGGTGGATATGTAATTTTCGAATAATTTATTTTTTTGGTGGATCTGTAATTTTCGAATAATTTAAATTTTCGGAATAAAAATTGGATTGAGTTGAATAAAATTTTTATAAGATTTTCATTATTATTCACCGTGGATAAATATGAATTTTTAAAATAATTAACAAAAAAAAAAATTGAACAGCCCTATTTGATTCATTCGGGTCACCAATTCGAAATTCGTTACAAAAAAAACTTGATAAACCAAATTCAACCGTACCATTTGAGTTGAGATATGAACTTATTTGGATTCAAATAAATGAAAAATTTATAGATTGAATTAGTTTCGAGTACAACTAAATTAGATTAAACTAAATAAACGGAATTTATTTTAAAAAAATATATATATATAACTATTTAGAAGATAAAATTTAAAAATATATAATGAAATTGAGTAGTAAATTTTAATTAAATATTTAAAGGTATTTTAGAAAGTAATATATTATTTTTATTAAAAAATAAATTTACAATCGATTTATTATTTAATAAAAATTATTTAAATTGAAAAAGTTTATAATTAAAATAATTGAATTGAATCCAGAGATGCTGTGAAGACGAACCAAATTATATAATGAATAGAGGCATTAGCCGTTCTTTTGCGGAGAGCAGAAGGGTGTCCTGTCAACAGCCGCGAGACAGAGGGGAAAGGGAGAGGAGGAGGAAGGGGTTCGATTACAAACGGCTGTCTCTTTTTGTTTTCTATCTCTTTTACCCTTCTCTCCATTTTTTCGTATTGCTTTTACTTCAAGATTCATAAGATTCTCCGTTTCCTTCATCATCTTCGTCTTCCTTCCCCACCCACTTCCGCTCTGCAGTAAAAAAAACGCATCAATTCTCGTTTAATATGCTCAAGTAATCAGGTATGTGTGTATACTTCGATTGCATTTCGTTCAATAATCTGTAGTTATGCGAGCGATAAATCTCAGTTGGGTATGGTTGCGGCGGGTGTTTTTCTTGATTCTCGTTCTTTAATGGAAACTGTTCGGACTAATATTGGAGGATTTTGTGGTTATCTGTGCGGAAATGTTCGTTCTGTTGTGAATTTTGAAGTGATTTTATTAGGGTTCATTTGATTGACCCGTTATTCAGTGCGTACGCTTGCATTTGTGTGAATTGATGCAGTAGTGAAGGTCATGTGTTCTTTTTGTTAGTTGTGGTTTAAGAAGAAAGGGGTTCATTGATTAGTTCATGGTGCGTAAAGATGAAATTAGAAACAGTGATGAAATGGTGGATGGAAAATAGAGGGGAGGACAATGAGTCATTATGTAGAAGGGTGGTGGTGGTTGTGGGAGCTTTTAGATCTCTATTTTCCCTTTGGAGAGTATGGTTTACAAAAATGTTGTTTGAATTGTAATTTACTTATCTTGCAGATTTATTATCACACTCAAAATGGATCAAGAGTTAGCTGATAATGAAAATTTGCTCACTCGTATCCAATCGTTGGAACATGGTATGTCATCTCCCATTTATTGTACATGGTTTTTAAATGTTGGCAGTATCACTTCAGTATATTATTTTGAAAATCTCACGTACTTTCACTTCTTAGTTGCATCCGAAGAAATGGTGCTGAGAAAAAGGGAAATGAAATAGAATTGAAGACTTCTTGAGTTCATTTATTATGGAAGTCTCTTGTACTTTTGAATATTAGTTGTACCCGAAGAAATGGTGCTGGAGTAAATGGAAACTAATAGAATTATGCTAAAAGACTCCAGTCGGTCATTAAATATGAAAGATATGATAATGTCCAAGGAGAAGTATTGGAGTTAGCCACACTTCAAATCCCCTAGACCGCTCTTGTTTCTCTCTTGTCAGACATTCCATATGATAGGAAAGAATAATTGCCTGCTTTGAAATCAACATTCACTAAGAAGAAGAGGGAGATGAGTACTTCCTTTATCATAATCAGTAGCCTTCCCTATAGCTGAACTGACACTGAGATCTCTAGAAAATTTCTCTAGATTTTGTAGTAGAGGGATGTCTCCATAGGACAAAATCTTGGCCTTCCAACATCATGCATTGAACACACGACTTGTAGTCTAAAACCAAAGACAGGGAAATCTTTGCTGTTTAACTTTCCTCCCAAAGCAATCTCCCAAGAGAAGACTAATTTTCTTGGGGATCGCTAGACGACAAGGTGGGTTGATCAAACTGGTAAAAAAAAAAAAAAAAACAGTCTACATGAGACTTTGAAGGTTCAAGAGTCCAAAACTCCTTAAGCTATCTTTTGTCATCATGGTATATCGAAAGCAAAAGAAGAATGCAATGTTAGATGATCATTTTCTGCAACTCTGCATTTTCTTTATCTCGAGGAGAAGTATAGGTATATTGTAATTTCTTGTGCAACAAATCTTTATCATTATTCTTTGTTTGCACAAAAATTTTAGGCTCACATTTGACAAATTAGAGGCTTCTTCTGCTTATTTGTATGGTTGGATTCGTGTAGCCATCTAGTTTTTTTTGGTGTTTTGAGTTTGGGGTTTTCATATTTTTCTTTGCTGCATTTATTTAATGATGTAATCTTTTCAATGCTGATTTTTACATCCTGCAGAGCGTGATGAGTTAAGAAAAGATATCGAACAATTATGCATGCAGCAATCTGGACCTGGTTACCTTTCTGTGGCCACTCGAATGCATTTTCAGAGGTACCATAACTTTTCCAAATTCTTTTTCTGTTTTACCCCCACCCACTTTAAAAAGGAAGAGGTAGGCTTCCATGTGTTTAATGCAGACGAAGGTTGGCCTTGTATTTATTGAAATGGTTGAGTTATAACATGATTATTAAACGTTTACGCCCCTATTAGGACAGCTGGGCTGGAACAGGAGATTGAGAACCTGAAAAAGAAGTTTGCTGCTTGTACCAGAGAGAATCACAATCTTCAAGAGGAACTCGCAGAAGCCTACAGAATAAAAGTATGATGGTTATTGGTTATTTTTTCATTTAAGTTTGGGACAAACCTCCTTTACAAGCTTATATTTCTCTTCAATGTCACCACCAGAGTCAGCTGGCAGATCTGCACAGTTCAGAGGTTGCAAAGGTATTTTTCTTGATTCCTGCGCTCTTGTCTATTTGTGCTTCTTTTCATAACTTGTTTCTATAAAGAATTGAAAATACCAACACCATAATTAATAAAGAATTTTACTAAAAGAGAGGAGGGAGGGCGGAAGAGGGTTTTTTGTAGTTAAAATTCACGTGTTAAGTTTTCTATTTCAATGGTACTTGCTTTATCCTCCATCTCAGTTGTAATTATAAATCTTCTTTATTTCCAGAATTTGGAATCAGAGAAACAGCTTAAGTTTTTCCAAGGTTGCGTTGCTACTGCTTTTGCTGAACGGGATCATTCCATTATGGAGGTCATGCAAGTCCTCATTATCTAAATTTTGAAGTTTCATGGTTATAGTTTTCTTCTCTTTCTGATTTAAAATAATTTTGAAATTGCTTTATGATTGGTAACAGGCTGAGAATGCGAAGGAGAAAGAAGAGTCAATGTCGCAAAAGCTTAAAGAGGTCCAAAATAGGTACTACATATCTTTTCATCAGATGTTGGTGGTTGCTGAAAAATCACACTTGAAAAAAATCTACTCTGTCTTGAGTGATAACGAACCATATTAAATAGTTTTTTTTGTCAAAGGCTATCAACTTACATTTAGAATCTCACCATTCTTAACCATGCTTGAAAGATGCTTGGAAGTTGAAACATAAAAGACAGCCCACTA